CATAAAAAGTACATTTCCCTCTTTAAAACCCTAAAATCTTAAAGCCCTGAACGTGCAGCTCAGCAGGAGACTCGTCTCAAATTAAAACATTTACATGTATTTTTTATTTCTGTTTAAACTGTAATAATCGGTTGCCACCACGAGAGGGCAGCACGGACCCACCTCAGGCTCGTGACTGCAGCTGAACTCTGAACCGCTGAAGTCTCAGAGTCCAGACCAGAGCAGTGAGACAAATGCTTTCAAACGACTTTTCTGTTCTGAAACAAACAAGTGAAACATTTATTGTTGGATTGCTGACATCAAAACATGAAGCTTTAATTTCCATATTTTCCTAAAAGAGCACTTCGCTCTCAGACTCACTTGCAGAGAATGAAGAAGAGAAGAATGGGAGGAAGATCTTTCAGTTGTCAGGCTCCTCTCTTGTGGAACCAACTTCCAGTTTCTGTCCGTGAGGCTGACACGTGGTCTGATACTATTTCTATCTTAACATGTGATTCTTGACCTGCCATTGTGTATCTATTCTTCTCAAACCCAGCCGGTCGAAGCAGACGACCGCTTGTCCTGAACCTGGTTCTGCTAAAGGTTTCTTCCTCATGAGGGAGTTTTTCCTTTCCACTGTCGCCTTCATGCTCGCTCAAGATGAGAGTCTGTGATGGAGTTAAACTCTCAGCAGTCTGCTCCTCAGATAAAAAATGTTAAATTATTATTTTATATGTGAATGTTTCTGTTCAGTGCACTGAGATGACTTTTGTTATTGGCGCTAATTAAGTAAACTGAATTGAATTAATATATAAAATGCTCCAAAATCACTGCAAGTAACAAAAAGGCTTTAAAACTAAAACAACAACAATATTAATTATAGGTCTATGTGAGAATGCATATCACCCATCTTTTGCTTTCTGATGGGTGATATTAAAGGTGACTGAAGTATTTTTTGCCGTTCTGAACAGATTAAGACACAAACCCAGAAAAAAAAAAAACTGTCTGAGCTGAATAACAGCTGAAAAATCACCAAAACTAAAAGCTAAAATCAGCCAAAACCATTTAGTTAAATCTAAAATTTGTAAAATATTAACCCAAAGCTAAAACTAGCACAACCATAGCTTAAAGCTAAAATTAGCATACACATAGTTTAAAATTCAAATTAGTTCAACTATAGCTGCCAATTTAGCTAAAGTGGTAACATCGGTAAAGCTGTTGTTAGCAAAACATTAGCTCAAAGCCAAACTCAGCAAATCCTTAGCTTTAAAATGAGCTAAACCATAGTTTTAAGCTACAACTAGCTAACCAGAGCGTAAACCAAAAATAAGCTAAACCATAGCTTAAAGCTAAAATAAGCTCAACCAT